TCTTTTGAGTAACCTAGGGCTTTAGTTCCCAATTTGTTTTAATTTTATTATTTTATTTGATTTCACATTTTGTCCTGGAAGATTTTCATTATTGTTAAGGCCTATTAATAATGATATTATAGTATTTTGGTTTTTATGATAGAGTCTAACTCTAGTTTGAATGCGATCGCGAATGAGAGAGTGAATGTAATGATCAATGAATGCGACCACAAAGTTGAGTCTAACATACTGTTAATCCAAAAATACATTAGAATAGGGTTAAGGATTTCAATAGGATCGATTTTTATTTTATTTTATTTTTTATTTCGAATTTTGTTAGGAACAATAGCCTCACAGGACTGTAAAAACTCTATTGTTAGGAAAATATTCGCTCCACTTTGTTAGGTCTCCTTTTAGAGGAGTGCAAATATTGATTTCTTTTATTAGGGTAATCAGTTACTCTATTTCATTATATCAACTTGAATTTTAAGAGTCGTAGATAAAGATCATATCTTGATTCTCAGACTGGAAGGTTGTGGGAGGTTATGATCAGACCAGGAAACCCACAAAACTTCTCCTCATTAGAGGAAACGAAGAGGTATAGATTGAATTTTATGCAGGATGGGGGATTTGTTTTAGCCATGCCGTATAGCCTGGGGTATAACGGCGCGACCTTGGGTAACCGATCTGACACCGTAGTTTCGACGCTTTTAGCGTGGCTGGAGCGAGGGTATTCCAGACGGGAGGTCCTGTAAGATTGGCAAGTAGGCAGAGATTGCCCAGTTATTCTAGACGAAGTGTTTCCGTCTATTGAATTTTTTTTGGTACCAGTTTGATCCCCCATAGCTAGCGGAAGTTTCTTCTAATAAAGGATTCGCCCTGCCATACGTTTTGTTGGAATGAATTCGAGCATAAGACCGATTCGAGAGGCAGAATAAGTAATTATTAGGACCTTCAACGAGTTTAGACTCGTTCCATGTTAGGATAAGATTTTAAAGTATTAGTTAACTATAAGGACCGCGAACGAGACGCCAGAACGAGCCAATGAGTCAAAGTTTTAGAAGTGTTGTATGGAGGACAGTAGAATTAAGAGCAGTTATACAGGAAGTAGAATCCTGAAGGAATTTGTAAAAGGAACCAAAATTTAAGATTGATAAAATTCAAACTTATAAGATGTAGATTTATAGGATTCAGGTCAATGAATAGAGAGTATATTTGTAGATGAAAGTAATATGAATTTCTTGGAAGGGGGAGGTAGCTGAACTGTACACACCCCAGAGGCAAGGTAAACGGAGCCACAAACAAAATAGTAGAAATTGATTAGTCGCTCTGCCAAAACAGAAAAGAAATTCTCTTCATACGGTTGTCACCCTAGATTTAAATGGACTGTGTAGTTTAATAGAGGTCTGGGCTATGTTCCATTTGACCAAGATTCTAAATGACGTTCCCATCTGGGTTGAGAGAGTATTGTAATTTGAGGAATCTAACACACAAGAGAGAACCCACCCTCCAGTAGGATCGGGATAGACGAATATTACCCAGTGACCAACTCGTGATTCCAGACTGGATAAGATTGAAACTTAACTGAGATACTAAACCTTGAACCTTCAGCGCACAAATATATATATTATGTTTACATTTTCTTTTTCAATATGTTATTATTTTTATATCATATATATTATATTATAGTTATATACTATTCATTTCAACAATTTTATTTTGACATTCATGATATTAATATTTATATTAAATATTTAATTATATATATTTTGTCACCATATATAATCTTGTAGTAGTTTTCTTTTGTCATCTATCATGGGATGATTTTTATCACTTATATCTTAACATATTTAATCACTATCTACATGATGTTTTACTTCAATATATATGTTATACTCATCATATAACATGGAAGGATTCATTTTATCATTACATATTTCGTGCCTTATTTAATGATTACTTACATAATTTGTTTTCTGTAATTTTTTTATTTAGCAAAAGTCATCATGTCATAGGCTAATCATTATATATCAAGATATTTCTTTCAGCTAACTATAATTATCCTTTCCTTTGATTGTATATATATATAACTATACCACACGAATGTCTTGATTGGTACGAAAATAAAGATGCTGGCATGTTTTAGGAGTTGGACTAGTCAGTTATTTCTAAACGACTTCTTGGCGCCCAATTTTTTTATATATAATATGTAATAGGGAAATGTCCTAACTGTATTGTTAGCAGAAAGAAGGTAGCAATGAATCCAGCACCCCAAGAGGCAAGGATGGGGTTGAGAGGACTTACCACAAGGAAGGCCTACTCCTCAAGGCCAAAGAAGAAAGTGGAAGGGTGGTATATATACCCATGAATGGTAAGACAGATGACCTTGCTTACTTCCATACATATGATATGACTGTCCCCCATAACCTATTTTGATAACAGTGTGCTGACAGAATAATAACACATAAAAACCCCTTTGCCAGGATACGCAATGCCCACTAATGTTCGGAATAATAAACATCTAGAATGGCATACCATCGTTTTGACTAGCCTTATCTTCCCTATAGGTTTCGGTACACCTGGCTTCACCTAGTAATGGAAAATGCATTTTGCTAGAAATGGGCCTGCTTTCATAGTAACTGATGAAAGGCAAATGAATAATGAATAGCACAAACGCATTTGTCCATTACTTGGCAGGGGGAGGATTGTTGGGGCACGTTTTTGTAACCATACCCCAACAGAAGGCGTATGTATAATCAAATCAAATGGATACATGGCTTCCCTCCCACATAGACTTACAGACCATTTTTTTTGCCCAGAAACTTAAGACACTTGGTGACACCAGACTTCCATGCCGAAAGCTGATGCCTGGTAAAGAAGAAGACATCCAGAGACATCCGAGCTGGAAACTGTTGTTTCATATGTACATATATTCCCCTCACCAAAAATTTAGGTAAAGGTGACCAGAAAAAAAAAAAAAAAAAGAGAAAAATGGAGAAGGAAGATCTCTAAAGACTGAACCTTATAAAATATCCTTCCCGAGAAAGGAAAGCATCACATTACAGTCCAGGTAAAAAGGGCCTGGGTCGATTTTAGCGAAGACGGGGGGGCGATATATATACCGTCCCGAGAAAAAGGGAGGATTGTATTTCAATCCATGTGGAAAGGGGGGGGGGGCCTGGAGTCTGAAATCTTACACTAGTGCCGTGGCTGTTTCTCTCTTTAGATTTTTTTTGTTTTGGTAATACTATATGTCCTATTTTGATGGGAGAGGCCTGGGGCGTCTATGAAATTGATACTGGAGCCGTTGGCCATTTTGATTGGTGTTTCTTTCGGCGAATGAAAATGGAGAATGAGATGAATAAAAGAAGGTTCTTTGCCAAAAGGCGAGATTCGATCTGAGTCGCTCAGTGAAAGGACAGTCTTCAGACGGGAGACCAGACCTTTGCCGGCACTTTCGAGAAAAGGTAAGCCATTTGTCATTATGACTTAGCGCCTTCCCCCCCCCCTTTTGTGTAGTAGCCAACCTAGATTTCGCATGGGCCCTAAAGGGCTATAAAGTAACTTCAGGTCACCTCTATCTAAATTTTACTATGTAAATAGCATATCTCGTCAGTATAGACATGTTCCCAAATTTTAAGATATTTAAATAAATATCTAGAGAAATTTTCTTGTTTCCTCTGTTACCTATTTCATACATAATTTGCCTTATGGTGCTACTCCCACTGTTTAAATGAAATGTTGTATGTTTCTTACCTATTTGAAGGGAATGTTACTAATAATCAAGTCTCCCATAAATTACCGGCCACATACATTGTCGCGAGTGTCTGTGTTTCAGTGTTTTATAGATTGCCCAATTTAATAATGATTTCATGGGTTGTCTGATGAAATTGTATACTAGTGTCGCGGCTGTTTCCATCTTTAGACCATTTTTCTGACAATATTATATGCTCGATCCTTGCTTTAGCTCAACTCTTAATCAATTACAGAGTTTTTTTTCCCTTTTTTTTTTTTATTTTATTTATCCTGTTTGCACAATTTGCATTACATGTGATGATGTAAAGACATATGCCGATAGTGCATCATTGACAGCTGTGCTGCTATTATACAACATTAAGGTCTTGCTGCGGGTTATATACATGGGGTTGTTGGCCTAAATTGCTATATATATATATACTTAAGTAAGGAAACTTTAATAAGTCACATCGTGTATCCTCCCTTTTCAACTATCCAAACCGGGAACGCAACAAAGGCAGAGATTTTGTGTTAATGGACGATAACGCTCGTCCCCACAGAGTGAACCTGGTTACTCAGTATCTTCGAATTATTTGGATTAAAAATGAACTTATGTAGGTGGCTACCCCTTAAAATAGATCGGACTTCAAAATTCAGAAAGGAATTCCAAAACAAAAAATTTTAATGGAATGCTGAACGATTTTGCATGTCATCCTTGTGTAGGAGCCATGCTAATCTTCTCTGTATCCTTCCTATTGTAGTAGTTGTACCACCGAACAGGCATCGCAGGGGCTATACTTGTAATATAATTGTAATCTTCTCTGTATCCTTCCTATTGAGGTAGTTGTACCACCAAACTGGTATCACAAGGGCCATGTTAATCTTCTCTGTATTCTCCCTATTGTAGAAGTTGTACCGCCAAACAAGCATGTACAAAAAGAGTATGTAATCAAAATAGTGTAAAGGAGCACAAAAAAAGAAAAAAAAAATACATTTATTGAAAAACACCTGCAATGTGGAAGAATGGTATGGAATGGTGCTGGCACATGGGGACTTAGTGGTTGACGGCAAGGCTGCACATCACCCTCTGGGTTAGGAAATTCACTACGTAGAGTGGGACACCTCGGGGAGGTAGACAACACATAAACTGTCACATATATCTCAACTAGCCGAATGACCCGGGCAACGCCCGGGGTTTACCCGATTAAATGCTTTTATTCAAATACTATTCGTTACAAATATAAATTGGCGCCATAGATGTCACTCTTGTGAAACCTCCCGCCCCAAACCATCGGCCGGGAATCGAACCCGGGGCGCCCGGCGTGGCAGGCGAGCATTCTACCACTGAACCAAAAGCAAACGGTGACAGAAGTGTCTCGCGCATTGGCGGCACCAAATGATGGGGGGGGGGGCAAAGATGGCGTGATCGTAGCCGACCAATAGGAGGGCGCCGGCAAACCGTGACAGAGGCCATGACGCTCGTAACTGTATATAGAATAATGGCCCTTCTGTATACAGTAGAACAACCTCCATGAGAGACCACTCTCGCTAGAGGACACCTCTCTAAAAAGAACAGTTTTCATCACCAACCATTTTTTCTAATTAACAACTCTCCAGTAAATGGACACCTCTCTCTAATAGACATTGCAACTAGGTGTTGTCCTCACCATTCCTACAGCTATAATACTGCACAAGCACTTGATATAAGTTTCTCCAGTCCTGACATTTTTCACAAATGCAAATGGCAAATATTAAAAAGTATTGGAAATGATCATTTGCCTATTTTGATAGAAATTAGCACCAAGACCAAAACCAGCTCAATTAAAGAAAAATTCTGGAACTTCAAAAAGGCTAATTGGAATCTTTACCAGCAAAACACCAATGAAGACTTTCGAAAAGCACCCACTAGAATAAAAGATCTGGAACAAAATTGGATATCTTTCAAAAACACCATTATTAAAGCAGCCAAATTTTCAATACCAAGAGGTAATATTAAGAAATGGATTCCAAATTATACACACCAGGCAAAAGATATTCAAACACTTATAACTAAAAGAAATGAACTACAAAAAAAGTGCACCCAAAACCAAACAAATTGTAGAACTGAACTGAACATTGTGAATGCAAAAATAAAAATGTTATATGTAAATATGAAAAAAGGGAAAAATGGAAACAAACTTGTGAAAACCTGAACCCAAGAAACCCGAATACAAAACTTTGGCATTTGGCAAAACAAATTGACAGAGCCCAGCCACAAACTGAAAACACAAATATGATTAAGAATACAGATGGTACCCCAGCAACTAATGACAAAAATGCTGCTAATCTTTTAGGTAATTCATATCAAATAAGTAGTTAAATCAAATTTGAAATAAAAGATAAGAAAGTTGAAAAAAAGGCCCGAAAGATTATTCATGACTAAAAATTTCACCAGCACTCATAATATTTTCCATGAAAAAATCAATATGAAAGAGCTAGATTATGCATTAGAAAACACTGACCTAAACAAGACTCCTGGGCCAGATGGAATCCATGGCCAAATGATATCAAACTTGGGCAAAAATGGCAAAGAAATACTTCTTGATATTTTCAATAACTCCTGGAAAACTGGAAAATTGCCTCAAGACTGGAAAACTGCAACAATAATTCCTATTAAAAAACTTGACAAATCTGCTGATGACCCAAAAAACTATCGACCTATCTCCCTCACAAGTATTTGCTGCAAATTAATGGAAAAAATTATACTCAGACGACTTACCTACCACCTTGACACAAGAAATCTCTTACCAGAAGAACAATATGGATTTAGGAAAGGACATGGGACAATAGACCAACTCTTATTTTTCACACAAAAGGTAAAAGATGCACAAAACAGAAAACCAAATAACAACACCTTAGCTGCTTTTTTTAGACCTTACACAAGCTTTTGATAAAGAGTATGGAAAAACAAGTTAATTACAAAATTATACAAGCATTTCAAAATTGATGGAAAAGCTATCACTTGGATAAATGATTTCCTTAAAAATAGATACATCAGAGTCAAATATAATGGAACTCTATCTAAAACCTTCAAATTGTACCAAGGATTACCACAAGGATCAGTCCTTAGCCCAACTCTCTTCACCCTATATATTGCAGGCATAGAAGAAAAAATTTCACATAAAACCAATATTGGACTTTTCGCTGATGACATTATTCTATGGAGCAGTAACACTAACTGGAAAAAAGCTGAAAGGGATTTGAACAAGACTCTTCTCCACCTAGAAAAATTTGCTAATAAACATAAATTAGAATTTAACCCCCAAAAATCTGAAACCTGTCTTTTTACTACCGATAAGAAACTATACAAAATAAGGCCAAAAATTATTCTGAAAGAACAACAATTACAATATAATAAACATCCTAAATATCTTGGCTACACCCTGGATCCAGAAATTAACTCCAGTAAACATATTGAAGAAGTTATTAGAAAAGGAAGAGACCGACTAAAAATCCTGAAATATATTTCAGGAAGAGAGTGGGGAGCCGATGCAACCACACTAAAATTAACTTACACATCTCTAATTAGACCTATCCTGGAATATGGATATCAAATCTATGGTACAGCATCTGAAACAAATCTAAAATCACTGGAAAGGATACAACTAAGTGCAGCTAGAATTATTACAGGTCTTCGAAATACCTGCCCTAACGATATTGTACTTTACGAGGCAGACATTATGCCCTTAAAGGATAGAAGAAGCTACAATCTGCCAAAATATATAAACAAAATCAAGAGTTATGGAAACAAACACAGAACTTCTAATTACATACTTAATTGGGAATCCAATCTAAGACTCAAAAAAGAAGGTCCTCTCCACCTGGCCAAAAGAAATGAATTTTTAAAATATAAAGTAGAAAAAAATTACTTAGCAGAAAAAATTTCTCCATGCGAACCACTACAAAATGTTATTTTTAATGACACTTTAAATGAACCCACCAACAAACAATACCAAAATCCAGAATACTTAAAACAATTATCATTAGAAATAATTAATAACATTCCTAAAAATGCAATAACTATCTATACCGATGGTAGCAGAGATGAGTTGGGACACACTGGCAGTGGCTGTCTCATCAAAACCACAAATGGCATTGAGAAAATGAACAGAAGAAACCCAGATTTTTGCTCAGTCTTCAGATCAGAACTTATAGCCATCTATGAAGCCTTAAAATCCATCAGAAATACTAATTATCAAGATATCTGGATTCTTACTGATAGTAGAAGTGCCATACAAAACTTGAGTCACACAGGGGAACTCAGAGACAAAGTAAGCAGGAACATAATTGGCTATCTCCAAAAACTCTCAAAAACCTCAAAAATTCACCTTCAATGGATACCCTCACATGTTGGAATTGAAGGCAATGAAGCTGCTGATGTGCTAGCGAAAAAAGGCACAAAAGAACCCTTGGCACAGAAAAATAAACTTACTTTTAAAGAAATAGAAACAGTAGCCAAAACAAAAATAAACAAGAACTGGAGGATCCCACCTAAGCACAGTTGGTACAGTGGAGTGAACCCAGGTGGAGCTCTGAACATCAGAAATAGACAGCATCAAACAACACTAACAAGGTTTAGAACAGGCCATCTCAAGCCATTGAAGATAGAAAATAATAACAAAATTTATCCCACTTGCCCAAAATGTAGTTTGGTACCTGCAGCTCCAGAACACATTTTGGCTTGCATTAGATGCACTAAACAGGACCTTTGGGAGAGGCCGCTGCTCATCATAAAACAGCTCGAGGAGCATGAACTCATGGAATTTGTGTAATCTTTACACAAGGGGATAAGAAACAACAACAACAACAACAGGTGTTGTCCTTTATATACAGAGAGGTAGTTCTACTGTATAAGAAATAAAATTATTAAACACAAATATTTCTTTTTATAATATGTAAATTAAAGGTAATAAGACCAATTCGATAAAATAATCCCTTGAATCAATATTAAAAAAATATCATTAAGCCTCCAAAGAAAAAGTTTCTTTTTAACTATTTTTAATTTAAAAATCTCTCAAGCTTTCGAGAAAGATTTTATTAATTATTCAATAATAATTAATAAAGATTTATATTATATATCAAGGCTTTATTGGAGTTTTAATGATGTATGATATTTTCTCCCGTAGAAGGGCTTTCTTGCCCGAAAGCTTGAGAGATTTTTAAATAAAAATATTTTAAAAAGAAACTTTTCCCTCTGGATGCTTAATGTTTTTATTTAATAGTAAAATAAAACCAAATTCAAATAAATATGTTATTGTTGTTTCTTATCCCCTTGTGTAAAGATTACACGAATTCCATGAGTTCAGCAAGGGTCCCACTCCAGGGATACAGAGGAGCTACGTCTATACTCATGTTAGAGTCGGCAGCAAAGGCGTCTGCTTCCATGTTAGGAACGGTCTCAAACTACAGGCAAAGTCAGACTTTCACCAAAGTATGCCTGGATCATGGTGCCATGATCAACGAAAGCTGCACCCCTACACCCCATTCCATGAGATCAAATAAATATGTAAATAGTGTATGAAGCATTGTTACCATCATCAGACAAAAGTACTGAATAAGAAAATATATCACAGCATGCTTTTAAATAGTTACTATCGGCTAATTTGTTTACACACTTGATAACAGTACTTTAAAACATGCTATATTTTCTCATTCAGTACTTTTGTCTGATAATGGTAACAACATTGTTACCAAAGAATCATATATATTTATTTGAATTTGGTTTTATTACCTTTTGTTTCTAATCTATAATCCAAATTGTGCCTTATCAAATATGTGTAAATTCTTTATAAATGATAAATTTGTAATTCTACTGTTCTAAAAGCTTATGCTCATAGTTTGTTTAAATATCAAAATTCCATCCTTCAGTATCGCATATATAGACAGAATGGGCCAATGTGTAGGAGAATTTAAATTGGCATAAAAAATAAATGCATAAAATTCATTTAAAAAATACATCAATTGCATTAAGGCCATAACTCCGCCTTTGCCAGTCCCAAGCCCAGATGAAAAAGGAGGAGGGGAAGCAGTAAAAATCTCGCTAAAAAACCTGGGCTCAGCTGACCCGGCTGATAGTACCCTGTAAGGACTCCAGGAACACAGGATGAGTCTGTACTCCATGTTAGGAGCGGCTGTAAATGGAGTCTGTTCCTCATGTCAGAGGCGGCCATTTAATGTTGTTGTTTCTTATCCCCTTGTGTAAAGATTACACAAATTCCATGATTTCATGCTCCTCGAGCTGTTTTATGGCCATTTCATTTTTTGTTTGCTTATCCCCAGTAAACTTGGTACAGGCCATGATAATCATGGTGGGTAGAAGTAGGCA